CCCGGGCCCCCCCCAGCTCCCTCCCGGGCCCCCCCCAGCTCCCTCCCGGGCCCCCCCAGGTCCCTCCCGGCCCACCTCGGGTCGTGAGCTGTACTTGAGTCCTGCGCCCAAGTCCCTGGGGCGCCCTCCGGCTTTGCCGGCGCGATCGCTCTTCATGGTCTCGGGGTCGGGGGCCGGGGCCCGGGGTCCGGCGAGGGTCTCAGAGGCCTGGTCCCTGCGGGTAGCCGGCTCCCATGGCCCGCGGAGCGCGGGGGGCGCAGGGGCGCGGGTGCGACCGACTTCCCGGGCAGCCCCAGCGCCCGGCGCGCGGCGGCGGCTCTGTTCTCATCCTTCCCGCCCCGCGCAGGTAGTTTCTGGGCGTGGCCAGGGCTCGACCCCGCCCACGACCCGGCCCTCCGCGCTCCTTCCCGGACGCAGTCCCTCGGCCACGCCCCACAGGTAAGCCACGCCCCCAGTAAGCCACGCCCCCTCCCCCGGTGAGCTGGGGAGGGAACCCGGGGCTCGGCGACTGTCGCCGTAGGAACTCTGCGACAACGGGAGCGTGTTCAGCCGCTTCTGCTTCTCCCGGAGGACAGCCCTTCCCTCGGCTCTTGGTATCAATCTCTTCCTGTGCGGCTCCGGGGCCAGGGAGATAGCTCAGCGGCATAAACGGTCCAATCCCTGATACAAAAAAAAAGTATGCAATAACCCTGTGCGGCTCCAGCCGGCCTGCACTGGATCTGCCGCCTCGGCCACCCTGCCGCGTGACAGTTGTGACAATGCCGAAACCGGAAGAAAGCCGGAGTCTCCAGGCGCAGCCTCCTTGCCTGACCTCCTCTTCTACCTCCTCCTGCGGGGCCCTGCGCAGTGTCCTTTCCTCCCAGGCCATTGAACGCCGACCGTGATGCGCATCTTTTTTTTTTTTTTTTTTTTTTTTGGTGGAACTGGGGATTGAACTCAGGACCCTGAGTTTGCCAGGCAAGCGCTTATTCTACTGAGCTATCTCCCTGGCCCATGGATTCTTGTTCCCCTCCCCTTCGGGATGTCAGGCTCCAAAGCTCTCGCTTCAGACTTCTCCTGTACACACACACACTCAGCTCCCCTCAAGGCATCCATAGGCAAACTTGCCTTTCTGGTAGACACCCCGGGCACTGCCCTCTGTGTAGCCCCGGCTTTCTGGAACATCTCCCATGTGCTAGAGGTGGATCCCACCATCCACTGGCTCCTGAGCGAGCGCTGTGTGTTGGCCACCGTCTTGGATAATAGACACAAAAGCAAGAGACCCCTGCTTTGAAACCAACAGTCCCAGATTTCTTTCCTGGACTTGCTCACCTTCTATTGCTTTTCCTAGTCATAATCTTTCTCCTGGGCTAGAGCCTTGGAATCAGTTTTGACTCTATTCCCTTTAATCCCACGTCCAGTTAGCTCCAAACCCACATTGCCTGGTTTTGCATAAGAGGCAACTGGTCTCCCTCCTCTGGTGTGCCACCCCAGAATGTCCCCTTCACCCAGCCAGCAGGCTCATCTTCCTCAATTACAGCTTCTTTAAGACCTTCAAGATCCCCCAAACCAAAGCTGACCTCCTCTGCCCAGCTTCTGCCTTGGACGCATCCTTGCATGCTGTAGCATCCCAATTTGGACCCCTCCTTTCCGCCTGGACTGTGCATCACCCTCAGAACCACCTGGAGAACCACCTGGGGAAGCTCTTCAGCTTGTGCATGTCCTGAGTCAGGGTCTTGCTTCACAGTTCATAGTGGTCCTCCTGTCTCAGCCTCCCCAGTGCTGGGATTGCAGGTGTACCCGTGCTGGGGGTTCTAGTGCCAGCACATCATGCAGTACTGGGGATTGAACTCAGGACCTTGTGCTTGCCAGGCAGGGGCTTATGCTGCCAAGCTATCTCTCTAGCCCTCTATCTTGATGCTAGGAACAGCCAAATAACTGCTCTAGCCAAAGGTATATCAGCCAAGGAAGGAGACACACATCACCCAGGGGACAAGGAGACAGTACCAATTGCCATGTTCTGTTCTGAGACAGAACTGCTGCCATTGCTATAAAGAAATAATAACCAAGGAGACTGTCATGTAAGTGTCACACAATGTGTGCCTATATCAAAACACCACACAGTGATCCCTAAACATGTATTTGTGTGTGTGTGTGTGTGTGTGTGTGTGTGTGTGTGGCACCAGGGATTGAACTTGCACTTGCCAGGCAAGCCCTTATTGCACTGAGCTATTTCCTTAGCCCAATTTTTGTGTTTTTAGGTATCAGATTTGGGAGGCACAGTGCTGAGTACAGAACCCAGGACCTTACACATGTGAGGCAAGCCATCTGCTGCTGGGGTACATCCCCAGCCTTTAAAACATAAATTTAGCTGTGTGGGGGATGCACACCTGTGATTCTAGCACTCTGGGAGGCTGAATCAGGCAGGTTGAAAGTTCAAGCCCAGCTTGGAGAGTTCAGTGACTTAGTAAAGACTCTGTCTCAAAATAAAAAATAAAATTTAAAAAGGAGGTTGAGGGACCAGGGAGATGGCTCAGTGGAATAAGCGCTTCCCTGGCAAGCGCAAGGGACTGAGTTCAATCCCTGGTTCTGAAAGAAAAGAAAAAAAATAAAAAGGGGGTTGAGGATGTCGCTCACTGTGAAGGCCTCTGATTTAATACCCAGTATCACAAGGGATTAAAAAAAAGAATCATATAAGACTGGGCGTGGTGCCATGTGCCTCTAATCCAAGTGCTTGGGAGGCTGAAAACAGGAGGATCACTATGAGTCCAATCTGTGTAGTGAGACCCCATAGACCCTGTAATA